ACCCACAAAATAGTGCCTGACCACTCCTGCTGCCAATGCAAAGTTGTTGAGAAGGAAGGGCTCCCTAGAGGAGACTGGGATGGACAGAGAGCAGGTTCCAGCTACACGGACCAGGCTCCAGTGTCCAAGATTTTTGGCACAGTCAGGAGGACTAGGCAGGTGGTGGAAGCAAAGCAGATGGGGGAGATTTTTGCACAGATGGACCGTGAGGTCATCACGACTGATCCTGGGGCAGAGGCCATCTGTTTGTCTGTCTGCCCTCTGCCCCAGTTTTATGCATCTTGCTTAATGTGAGCAGCTGGTGTCTGGCCAGGTGTGTGTTGCCATCAGAGAGACAAGCTGGACTCTACAGGTGCTGGTGCTGGCAGGGCCCCCAGCAGAAGGCAGGACCTTCAGAAGATGCTGCCATCTGTAAGGTCTGCTCAGCCTGCAGGGCCGACCCAGGCCAGGACAGAAGGCCCAGGCTAGGAGGAGGGGTCCTTTGCTGTGATGTCAGTGTGTCTTTAATACCCAGTGGCAGAGGTTCTTTAACACCAGGTGCCAGGCACAGAAGGCCCTCGGGTGTTAGCGTAAACAAATGGATACAAACTCTAAGGATGCACATTGGCAGGACCAGGACTTCCTCCAGACTTGACGTTGATGGAGAGGAGCAGAGTTTACCAAACCAGTATCCTGAAGAAGTCTGCTGCTACAGAGCTCACTAGAAAGTTCTGTGGGAAAGACTGGGTGAAACAAACAGGTCTCTTTACTCTGGGTCTTCCCAGAGCCTACGGTCTGCTCAGATACAATGTGGATATTTAAGATGAGGCCGTAGCATGCAGCATTTCCTGAACTTCACCTCTCAGGGAAATCTTGGTCTGGGAGATTTTTTATCAGTATCTACTGGGACTAGTGCTTCATAGAACAAAATTTTCGAAAACGCCTCCCAAAGTTTCCCATGTTGCCCGCTTCTGCTCCGCAGGGCACACCCTCCTAGACCCTCCAGTACCACCTGCACGTTCCTGCCTCCAGTCGCTTGCTTATGCAGTACTTCCCCTGAATGCCATTTATTTGCCCTCTCCCTTTGCGCATTCTGTGCGCCTTAAGTCCCACCCCTCCACCAAGTTTTCCATAGGCTTCCAGGGGGACATAACCGCTTGCTGCTTTCATCTCCGCAAATGGGCTGCAGCTGACTCGTGTTCTTTCTTTGTGTCCTGGAAGCACAGCCCAGGGCTGGGCAGGTGGCGCTCCAGGAGTTTGATTAGTTCAGGCCCTGCCAGGTGTGCGGAGTGACTACACCTGTGGGCAGGTGTGAGCCTCACCTCCAGTTCAGCAGGTGTAAAGCAGCCATACCTCCAGTCAGGAAAGAAATTTCTCCACCTCTGGAACGTCACTCCTTTCCTCTGCTTCTTACTATGCAAGGAGCACGGGTCAGAGGGGAGGGAACCGGCTGATCTACTTACATGCTCTCTTCCTCTGAAGTGAAACCAGGGGCATTTTCTTATTTAATTAATATTATTATTTTATTTTTTTTCGGTACGCAGGCCTTTCACTGTTGTGGCCTCTCCCGTTGCGGAGCACAGGCTCCGGACCCGCAGGCTCAGTGGCCATGGCTCACGGGCCCAGCCGCTCCGCGGTATGTGGGATCTTCCCAGACCGGGGCACGAACCCGTGTCCCCTGCATCGGCAGGTGGACTCTCAACCACTGCGCCACCAGGGAAGCCCTATTTAATTATTAATGCCCCAAGTCAGATGGTGACTGCTGTGTTAACCTCTGTTACTCCGAATAGAGTCGGCCTAATAAGCACCGCGGCGGGATTGATTTTCCCTCAGTCATCTCATAAGTATATGTCTTTGGGATCTGTCCTCAGAGAGAGAGAGCCCGGGAAGCCCCATTAAAGTTAATGACTATGAGTTGCCCCCAGGTGGGGATGGCTCCTTTCTGGCTGCTCTTCACTCCGCCTCAGTGAAATGTCGGAGACAAGTAGAAACACATTTTCTAAGATCAGTTCCCAAAAGGAACTGACTGGCAACAGACTAGGACTTGACCCCAGCCTCCAAGCATTTACGGACACATTGGAAAGATGAAGTCGATCTGCTGGGAAGGATGTCAGGGCAAGATGGGAGGTGATGAGCGCTGGACCGGCTGGCCAGGCTGGAAGCTACATGAGTGTAGTGTGCTGGCTTGTGGTAGGTGCCAAGCCCTGCAGCGGCGGGGGGAGCGGGGCTGGGGCCTGAGCTGGACCTGGCGTGACAGGTGTTTGGATGTGCAGAGTTGAGGAAGAAGGGCATTGAGGGCAGGGGAGCCGTGTGAGCGAGGCTTGGCAGAGAAAGAGCAGGAGATGGGGCCAGCCTGACTGGGGAGGAGCGATGGGTGATAAGGTTGCATCTTTTAGACTGGCCGCTTCAAAGAAAAACTCTGAGGGCTGAGGGGGTCCTAGGGGAGTCACCTCTTCCACCCACAGGCTGACATCTTTCTCCCCCAACCACACCACCACAGAGGTGGACTTGGCCTCAGATGGCGAACTTTGTGAATGCTGGTGACAGGGCTGATTGAGGCTTGGGGGTGAGTCCTGGGGAGCATTCCCTGCTCGGCAGCCTTGACACACACACAGTAACGGAGGAGTGAGGCCTCAGACTGTGTAAATGCCACCTGGCTGGCGGTGTCCTGTGCTCCCGCACCCATTTCCACCTCCTGTGTGCTTATCCACACACCTGTTACCCTCTCTGTGCCCTGGTGCCCGGGTATCTCACCGCCCAGTGGGAGTCAGCCAAACCGTCCTGTCCAGATCCGACTCAGAGAGAAAGGTTTTCACAAAGATTTCAACAGATCTCCCAAATTATAGCCGCGATCCTAGTTACCTCCACCTGCCACCCCTCTTCCATCACAAGGATTAAAAGGGGCCAGAGGCACAGTCTCCTCTAGTCCAGGTGGCCTCACCCTTTGATATTCTAAGCTTCGTAAGTTTGAAGATGTGGCCAGGGGGTCCTCTCGGGAGAATGCTGGAGATTACAGGAGCGGCCAAAGTAACGAGACAGGGCCGTGGAGAGAATCAAGATGAGGCCTTCTCTGCAGTTCGCGTTCAGACTTTATGCCTTTCAGCGCTGCTGTCCCTTCGTTTATTTCGTTACTTGATTTATTTGATGTCTGATCAGCCCAACCCTCACCTGGAAGAAGATGCCCATCCTCCAAACTCAATGCCATGTCTCGGGCAGGCTCTTTCCCCTCCCAAAGGTGAAGGTCTCGCCTTCTCTTTGAGGAGAATGTGTTGAAATGACCGGCAGCCCTAGCGCTGTGTAGGGCCCAGTGAGTGCGGCGCCCTCTGTCCAGGTGCTCGTGGGGCCTCCGAGGCCTGGGGGCCGGTGGGGTGAGCGTATGAGGGAGTTGGGAGCGGCTGTGGCTTGCAACTCCCAGACCGCAAATTGTGCAGAAGCACCAGAATTGCTTTTCTCTTTCTTAACCGGTTTTCAGAATCCGTTTAGCCAGGTTATTTCCAGATCTCAGACAGGAAAACCTCATTAATCATCATTTGGACCCCCATGGTTACACAGAATTTGTGACAATTTGTTTATCTTTGAAGGAGCTGCTAAGAAAGAGTTTAACAAGGAAATTATTGGGGCTGGGAGGGGAGAGTTTAACCTTTCACAAAGGCAGGCGCTCCATTTAGCTTCCCTCGGAGTACAAATGGGGGCGTGTGCAACATCCATGTTACTCTTCCTTGTCTCCAGGAAGGTGCTTCTCGTCGGTAAACTCCAGGTCAATGGACTAGAAATCCTCAACCGTTTCAATCCTGGGGACCCTTCTGCAATGTCAAAAGAGTTTCTATACCATCCCTGCCCCCAGCTGTTAGAAGCTGCTTTTTTTTTTTTTAATGTGGCTGATTGAGAATAAAAGGTCCTTCGAATTCAGTAAAGCTTTTAAGCAAATCATGATCGCATCTGTGAACACGGGAAATATAGTGCTATCTTTCTGAGTCATAGTGTTTGTTCAGTCTGTAGCTGATGTTTGAGCACACATGAATTGCAGGTCCCCTGGGGGTGGCTCTGGGGCCCCCTGCACCCTCACCAGGTGGGAACCCTTGGGCAGTTCTCTAAGGCTGTAGGACTACGGAGTCCTGGACAGGAAGGAGTCTCGGAGGTCATTTCAGCCGCTCCCACCTTAATGGTTCTCTGCCTCTATGAGGAGCCCTTTGTTGGGGAATCCTCAATTCAAGGACCAAGGGGCTTGGTAGCTGGGTAGGCCCACTTAACCCCTGACTCAGGCTGTCACTTCAGGGGCCAGGATCAGACTCTACAAGCTGATTCCTCAAAGCCCCTTACCAGGCTATCCAAGCCCTTCGCCCCCGGTTTGGTATGACGTGCAGAGATGCATCACCCTGGGTGTCAGTGGCTGATAGCCCATGGGAACAAGAAAAGTAAGGGCCAGGCTTCTGCGTGGCTTGTTGGACCAGAGCTGCTAAGAAGGGTTTTCTCAGCTTACCTGTCCCTAGGGCCATACCAGACACCTTTTTTCTCTGTCTTCATTGAAGGAGGGAGTAGAGAGAGGAAGTGAATGGGCAAAGCACATCAAAGATGAGGGAGAAGGGACGGGGGAGGGTGTTGTCCTTAAGGTAGAAGATCAGGGGTTCTTGGTCCAAGGATGGGCTCAGGGGCCTGAGGGCACCCTGAAATGACAGCCAAATGTCGTGCGTATGTGCATTTTGTGGGGGAGAAGGTCTGTAACTTTCATTAGATTCTCAAAGTCCACGAACCAAAAAACTTTCAGAAGCTCTGGCCTAAAATTTCAACGTTTCCCTGACTCAGCCTTCCCACTGCCCGGTTACTCAGAAGCGGTGAAGGGTTGCGGTGTTAGTCAAAGCCTGCAAGTGTGAAATATCAGCTGCTCATTACATGATGACGATGGGAGACTTTGCAGCTTAGCGAGCCTCTTCCGCCGCTTCACGCGAGGAGTCATGGCCTCAGACAGATGCCTGGGAAGACGGTCTGATTAATGACGCTGCCTCCTTTGTTCTCCCGCGCAGGGCCCAGGATGGTGCTCTCGGTGGCAGGGATCCTTGTCTGCTCCCTCCTGCAAACCGTCCTCTCCCTCAACCCCGAGGACCCCAACGTGTGCAGCCACTGGGAGAGGTAAGATGCGGTTCTTGGACAGCCAGGCACTCCCTCGGGGCCTCACCCTGGGCTTGGCACTGTTGGGACAAAAGCAGAGGCAGGAGGTACGGAAGCTGTCCACCAAGGGCCTGCAGTCCAGCTGGGGACACAGCACAGATGCTGAAAGGTGGGCCAAAGCTGTGTAGATTCTGTCTGAGACTCAGTGCTCTGGGGGTCAGGGTGGGGGCGTTGAGTGACAGGCAACGTGACTGATGCAGTCTGGTAGTTGACAGTATTCCTCCCTGCATTTGCACTTACCGCCATTTTACAGATGAGGAAGTAGAGGCCCAGAGAGGCTCAGTGCCCATCCCCAGACAGGCGGGGTGCAGTGAGAGGCTCTGGTCCAGATGAGTTGTTCTCCAATGCCACGATGCCTTCCTGGTCTCCCAGGATTGGCAATGATGCAGCAGCTCAGATGTGCGGGGCAGCCAGCAGCCTGCCCCGAGCAGGGTAGGTGAGGGGGCCCTGCTGCTTCTGATCTGGTGGGGTTAGAGAGGGCTGACAGGGGAAGGGCAGCTGCATTGTGGCTGCGGCACTAGGTCCAGGGGGAACAGGCCGGGGCTCTGCAGATGGCCTGACTTTGAAGCACAAGGTGAAAGTATCGATTTTGGTGAGCAGAAAGACAGTGACCAGAGACCCAATCAGGAAAAACCGAATTATACCCTGGAATTGATTGGCCATGCTGACCAGGATGACTCTGTCACTTAGATGTTAATAAATCAAATGAATAAAATTAAGATGAGGGCCCGATGGGGGAAGCGGATGGTGGAGGAGGGCAGGTGAGTGGGGAGGGCCGTGCTCCATGCCTGTGAGGGTGAATGCCCCAGCCCCACGGCAGGGAAAGTCCCCCCACCCAGGGCCTGGCGGGACTGGCTGGGAGGCAGAGGGATGGTGCCCACACCAGCGTGGTCTCCAGTGACCAGGTGCTCCATGAGGGGTCCCGACAGAGTCGAGGCTGGAGCGGAAGGCAGCGTTGCCACCAGCGTGATCCTTTTTGGTGAAGTGGGAAGAACACGAGATCAGTGATGAGACCTTGGTTCACACCAGTCTGGAGTTTTCTGTCTGTTAGCCCTGTGACTTTGGGGATGTCTCTGAACCACTTGAAGCCTACCTCTGCCTCTGTAAAGTGGGAGGAATCGTTACCCCTGCCTCACAGGCTTGTTGGATGATCAAGGTACCAGTTTCATGAAAGGGCTTTGAGGACCGTGAAGCTCAATTATTGTCTTTTCTTGTTGACAACTCCAGCTTTGCAGGAACAGTTATCACAGACTTCACTGCACATCAGGCACCCTGAAGTGCTGGTGAAAAGCAGATTCTCTTGGGTCCTCTCCGCAGAGACTCTGATTCCGTAGGTCTGGGGTAGAGCCTAGGCATATGCAGTTTTCATAAGCTTTCCACATGATTCTGTGGTGATCCAGGCCCCTTACCTCTTCTAGTTTTGGTGAATGTAAACCTTTATTTCCCAGTGGGTGAGGGAGAAAGCAGATGACTCCCACATTAGTCTTTGGTTTGCAGACTTCAGTCTCAGCAATCTCCGTCTCATCCACCTTTCCCAGCTGGGACTCCGTTGCTTCCTGCCGAAGTCTGTGCTGTATCCCGGCTTCTGGAACGCCTCTTTCCTGTCTGCTCACCTCTGCCTTTCCCAGTGCCTCCAACCTCTCCTCCAGGAAGCCTTCCCTGATGGTAGGGCCCACCCTGACTTCCCTTTTCTCTGAGCGCCATTTGCACCAGTGGATCAGTTCAAACTTAAACCAAACTCACTAATTTTCTAAACCTGCCCGACATGAATACATTTGGAATGTGGAAATATTCTGATCCGAACCTGCGCTGAGCCGGCGTTTCAGGCTGTTCGGGCTGTCAGCTGAAGTTACTGCTTTGATGGGAGGACAAGGAGAGACTCCAGCAGCTAAGAGGAGGTCTGGGGCTTCTCCTGCCCCTAGGGAGGAGGTCTTGTGTGATGCCCTGTGCCACCAGGCGCCTCCTCCTTCTTGGCTCTTCCAGCTGAGCTCCATTGCCATCTACACGTGGATGAGTCTAGTCTGTGTCATTCCAGGAACACACCCTGGTCCCCCGAGACCGCTTAGGGAGAATTTCCCAGCTGGATTAGTGCTTCTGGATGGCTCCTCGTTAATTACGCCCCTCCACCATAAAACCCAGCAGAAGGACCTCCCCTGGCTAGCAAAGCCCAGCTTTACAAGATTAATCTGGCCCCTCGTTAGCATGTTGGCAAATGAGCGTGTTAAACCACGCTTCACCCGGGGACTTGGAGTTGGTTCAAGTTCTGGTTGCCTGACTTGCTTGGCTCAGGGCACCCCTGCAGAGCTGGATCTGTTCCCCATGACACCCTCCCCACCGTCTCTGTTGGGCTGTTGCCCTTTCTCTGAGCACCCACTGTCCCTGTCTGTGCTACAAGGGGTGCCTCATTCCCCCAGGTGCTTAACAAAGGCAGGGAGTCTGGTCTGTGTGTGGTCTTTCTCCCCATCCCGTATTATGGTCAGGGAGGAACTATCCCTCAGTGCCTGGCAAGGAGGTGTGTCACTGCCAGTCATATAATGATGACGGCCAGCATCTATTAGACACTGACAGTGTACCTGTTAAGCATTTTATGTGTATTATCTTGTGTTGAGCATTTTACCTGTGTTATCTTGCTTTACCTTCCCACCACTCTGAGAGACAGATACTATCACTGCCATCCTGATCCTTGCAATAATGATATGAAGTCCCTGGTAGTAGTTATCATAGGTTTACAGGTAAGGAAATGGAAGCTTATACCAGCTAAGTATTATATCTAAGGACAGGCTGCTAACAAGTGACAGGGTTCAAACCTGACCCAGAGCCCCTGTACTCTTATCCTGCCTCTAAGTGAGAGACTCAGTAGAGATGCAGGAGCCCAGGGTCATAGATTTTCAGAGTTGGAAGGGGCTTTGGGACGCTAGGGGCGGGTGTCGAGCTCAGTTTCTCCAAGCCTGGAGATGAAATGGGTTCAGGCCATGTCTGCATAGACGTGTGCCTCTGACGCACATCTCTGATGTGCCGGCTGGTAGAGGCTCAGCAAGGACCCTTCTCACATCCTCCGTGCTTCAGAGAAACAGAATTTCCCACCACCCTGAGTACATGTGCATTGCTGACTGCTCCTGGCTTCCTCTTTCTGAATTCTAGACCTTTGACATTTCTGCCAGCAGAGAGCCTGCTAGAGACCCACTCGGGGGGCTGGCCTGCCCCAGCCCCCCTGCAAGTAAACCGACAGTTTTCTCAGGCAAAGCAGACGGGCTTTTATAGCCTGGACCTGGCCATCTGGACCAAGTGAGTGAGCCTTCTGGGGAAAAACACTGAATAATACCAACTGACATAAAAATTAATCCCTAAAATCTCAGCAGAGGTCCTCTCCCAGCCTGCATAGGAAGTGTGAGTCCTCACTTTACACCCTGGCTTCACTGCCTTTTCATACCTCTCCTGCCAGCACGGGCAGGTGGAAAGGTTTATTTTGATAAAGCTGGGAGCTGCTTCCCTGTGGCTTCTACCCCCTGGTCCAGGTTTACAGTTAACAGGCAGGTAACAAGATACCACTTCGATCAGGAGGTCTGGGGGCGTGTCCTCGTTGCATCCCCAGCTATACTAGAGACATAATAAAGCAGAGGGTAATGGGTGACCTTGGGGAAGTCACTTAACGTCTCTGATGCTCAGTTCCCTCATCTGTAAAATGAGGATAACAATGCCACCACCTACCTTATAAGATTGTGTGAGGGGACTTCCCTGGTGGCGCAGTGGTTAAGAATCCGCCTGCCAATGCAGGGGACACGGGTTCGAGCCCTGGTCCAGGAAGATCCCACACGCCGCGGAGCAACTAAGCCCGTGCGCCGCAACTACTGAGCCTGCGCTCTAGAGCCCGTGAACCACAACTACTGAGCCCGCGAGCCACAACTACTGAAGCCAGGTTGCCTAGAGCCTGTGCTCCACAACAAGAGAAGCCACCACAATGAGAAGCCTGCGCACTGCAACAAAGAGTAGCCCCTGCTCGCCACAACTAGAGAAAAGCCCATGTGCAGCAACGAAGATCCAACGCAGCCAAAGAATAATAATAATAATGAGAAATTTAAAAAAAAAAGATTATGTGAGGATTAAGAGGGCTTAAAACATTTAACACAGGGTGTTCAAATATTAACAGTTATTGGTACCAGCTGTGTGGGCTGGACAAGCTGCCTCTAAGCCTTCATTTCTTCATCTGTAAAATGGGACCACTTATTTCAGAGTTGCTGCAAAGATCAGCTTCCATGCATGTGCTCTGAAGACCATAAAGATCTGAACAAACATTAAGTATTTTAAAACGTGCTAGCTTTGGGCCCTCCAGAGCCACATAGAATAAATGGAAACCCTCCTTTATTCATTCTCTGTTAAATGAGCAAATGAACCAGAACTTCGAAAGCGAGCTGGGCCACAGGGCAGTAAGGGGTGTGTCCTGGATCTAGCCTGGAGTCAGGGAGGTTTGAATGCGGAGAGTACCCAGGGCAGGAGGAGGAGAGTGGGGTTAGGGTGGGGGGGTTGGAGCTCCTGGACACTTGGCTGTGGGGCCTGGCTCCCCTGGGGAGGGAGACCCCATCCTGAATATCAGCTCTGCCTCCCAACGGCTGACCACAGCTTCCATCTCCTATCTGGTTCTCAGCTATGCCGTGACCGTGCAGGAATCGTACGCACACCCCTTTGATCAGATCTACTACACGCGATGCACAGACATCCTCAACTGGTTCAAGTGTACCAGGCATCGGTGAGTACCTCTCTCAGATGGTGAGTGGGGGGAAGGAGGCAGGCCCTCAGGCTCACCTTCCTGCCCCCCTAGCAGATGGAGTCAGTGCACCGCCTGCATCCCCTTGGCACCCACTCTTGGTACTCACGGGAGAGGCTCTGCTGAGGGCTTCTTTGTAGTCAGAGCGGCTTATGGGCAGGGCAGGCTAGAAGTGCTAGAGAATTACTGCCCTTGGAGGGCATCCCTCACCCAATGGCAGATGGGGAATTAGTAGAAAAATACGCCAGCTTCCTTACCCAACTCTGAGGCATGTTCTGCACATATCTGTGGTCCCCAGCAGGATGGAACCTCAGTCACCCACAGCGGGAAGCTGCTCAAAAGTACACCCTGAATTGGCTGCCTTTACTTTCCTGTCTCATTTTACTATACCCCTCCCAGTGCTTCTTAGGATCATCTCCCAGATAAGCTACTTGCTTTTGAATCCTTGCCTCAGGGTCTGCTTCTGGGGGAAATCCAACCTCAGAGGGCCCCCGTCAGAGCACATGTAGCCCTGTGCAGCGTACCCGGCTTGGAGAACAGGGTGCAGGCTATAGACCAGCACCTCTTGGCACCTTGGTCAGGCTGCCCATGGGAAGCACTCCATCTGAACGACTGCACGTGGGAATTCTGCTTCCTTGTCTGCAGTCCTCCTGGAAATCATGCCATGCCCTCATGGCACCAGAGAGACAGGAGAGGAAGGAAGAGAAAACATGTTTTCTTGGATGACCCTGTGCAAGTCATTCTATTTTGGGACTCCCTGTGTACTGATCAAACATATAATGATCCTTGCCCCACCTACCTGCAGCGTCAGGGATGTGCAAATACTGTGAAAAGAGCAGGGGAAAGTGGAGAAGAGTGAGGTATTAGATACAGGCAAGGTAGCTTTGTTATTTGAGGGGTGAAAATTCAGCAGATGAAGGGTCAGTGAGGGAGTGAGAGAGAGGATACCTGGTAGGCCCGTTTCGTAGTTTCTGAGCATCTGTGTTGTTTCCAGATTTTTTTGCTTCCTCTTTGTGGGCCGGGTCGCTCTTTGAGGTTATGCAGGAATCATGGTGGACAGAAATGTGGATGGGGAAACTTGCTCTATGCTGGAAGGCCAAAGTCCTGGTTTTCTTTGCGGGTTTTGCTAGTAACTTGTTGTGAAACACTGAGCATAGATACAGTAGCTGCTTTAAAATCCTTGTCTGCTAATCCCAACATCTGGGTCATCTCAGGGTTGGTCTTCCTTGATTGCTTCTTACAGAGGTACAATCTTCTAGTTTCTGTAATGTGTCTAGTAATTTTGAATTGTATTCTGGGCGTTATGAACAACAGAGACTGTAGAGACTGAATTCTCTTGTGTTCCTCCAAATTTGTTGTTGCTGTTGTTTGCTTGTTTGTTTTAGCAGCCAATTAACTTGGTTAAACTCAGTTTTCCAAACTCTGAAAGTTCGTATTTTCAGCCTTTGCTGGACTGCTTGGAACCTGCCCTGTACACGTGTAATTCAGGGGCCAGAAATTTGGGCAGAGATTTTACAAAGAATATGGGGCTTCCTCCTTGTGGCTGTCTCCTTTCTAGGGTTTCTCCTGTCACTTTCTAGTTGCTGGGTCTACCCTCAGCTTGTCCTGTGGTTCTTCAGACCAGTAAGGCCGTGTGTCCTCTATCCGAATTTTAGCCATCTGGAATATTATTGACTGGGGCCTGCCCTTGGGCTCACCTTTCCTGGTGTCATTCCCTTCTTCGAAGTGTCTACTTCCCTCCAGCATCTGCCTTTGTTCTCTCTCTAGTGCTTTTCAGGTAGTTGTCTTTTATATTTTCCCCAGATTGCAGAGTTGGTTGCAGGAGGGTTGATCTGATAGGAATGACTCAGCCATTACTGCATCCCCTTAACCTCCCCTAGTTGACCAAGTTAGCTGCCTGTGGCCCTGGTCAAAGGCAGAGGCAGAAAGAAAAGTCCTGCTCCCTCCATGACTCTGTCAGGCCCTGTGCTGGAGCCAAGTTTTCTCTGAGAAGTGGCTTTGCTGGGTACTCGGAGGCTGGCGCTGCCGTCCATCACCACTGGGGGAGGGTAAGTGAGTGGCTGCTTATTAAAACAGGCTGCATTCCTGGAACATGAAGTATTTTGCTGACTTACTGAGTGGCTCTGCAGCTTTCCTGATGACCCAGGGTGAGCACGCTGACAGCAGCACCATCAGTTTCCTTCAGTGTGGAATGGCTTGTTTGAACGCAGCATCCTTCTGATAGCAGCCTGGCCCCTGGCCCCTTCCCTCTCCTTCCAGAGGAAAGGAGCCAGCAAGGATGGGAAGGTAGAAGCAGTGGGGGACATCTTTCTCTAGGGAGGCTTTAACGATTCTGAGACCGCCTCTCCACTGGAAGCGCTTGGGGATGACTCTGTTTGGTGGGAGGCATGGATTGAGTGACTTCTTAGTCAACCCTGAGTCATTCTTTATCTCGGAGGCTTATACAACTGAAATTGCCGGGAGCTGCCTTCCTGTACCGGGGAAGTAGCTTCACTTAGAGGCTGGCTTACTTACCTTCCCTTATGGATTTTTGACAAAGTAGAATGACCTTAGTTTGTGACATTCCCAAATATCACAGATTTCCCTGGAGTCCTGCACTGTCATTTGTCATAAAGCGAGGGCTGTAAGCACTGGTAGGGCTGGCCCAGCCTGTGCTGTAGGACTCCCTGCCCAAGTTGGCCTGACCCTCCATGGAAAGCAGGCTATAGGCATCTCCAGTGACTGGACCCCGTGGCTCTGCCCCCCAACGAGGGGTCCACAGGGCAGGCTCCTCTGGGGTGCTGGTGGGGAAGTGAAAGAGCTCTGGCTTCAAGGCCTGAGGACTTGGGTTGAGTCCAAGTTACACCTTGACCTTGGGAAGTTACTTCCTCTCTCTGGTCTTTAATGGCTACTTCAAATCTCCTCCATTTTGACCTTATGTGTGAGGAAGGGGCTTTGCCTGTCAGTACCCAATTCTGACTCCCTCCTTAGGACTCTGTCCTCACACCATTCATTCCCTTGTCCTCCTGCTTCATGATGGCCATCCCATTAGCCCAGAAAGCCACCCCTTGGGAACTGGCAAAGGGCAGTAGGTTAAGCCCAGTGGCTTTGAAATTAGAGTGACTTGCGTTTGAATTCTGCCTCTGAAACTTATTAGCTGTGTGACCTCAAACAAGTGATTTAACTTCCCAGTTTTCTCATCCAGAAAACAAAGGAGGAGAGTACATAAAACGAAATAGGAATAAAAAACTCTAAGAAAGAAATAAAGGGGGCATAATAATGCTACCTGCCTCAGATAGAGACTGAGTGATTTTGCCTATAAATCTCTGTGGCACAGGACCACATCTCAACACTCAGGTCAGCATAAGAACTGGAACCCAGGTCTCTGACTCCCCGTCCAGAGCTTCTGCTCTCTGGATCTTAGCTTCTTCCTCTGCGGAGCTGGTTCTGAGCCTTCCCAAGATGGCATGCGGAGCTCTTTCCCAGGGGGTGTTATTTTTGGTGGGAGGGAGATTAATGTACTGTCTGGGACCTAGTCAGACTCAGAGGGTCCTTTTGCTGACTTGGCTTCAGTTCTCCAACTGGGTAGACCAATCCCCACAGGGCCATGAGCAATCATGGTTGGGGTGGTGGCAGTTGGCATAGAAACTCTCAGGGCCCAATTCCTATCAAGGTCACCCCATGGGCTGCTCCAGCTCTGGGTCTGGAGGTTTTCAGAAGTCCCCAGTTACTGTCCAGAAAGTATTTTCTGCAGCCCTTCTAAGTATCGCTCTGAAGGGATTGGCGAGAAGTCAGCAGGTGTAGCAAATGCTGTGGCCATGTCAGTGATACATTCTGCATCACAATGGCCCAGATCCCACCATCGATTTTTCTTTATTGTGTTCCATCATATTCGAAGCCGCCATGCATTTTAAAGTAATTATTGAATGGCATCCTTGATACAGCTTAACACGAATATCATTCTAACAGGAGTGATTGATTTTCAATACTTTCAAGTGGCTTTCTTTTCTGTGCCGTAGGATCAGTTATAAGACAGCATATCGGCGTGGGCTCCGGACCATGTACCGGCGGAGGTCCCAGTGCTGTCCTGGCTACTACGAAAGCGGAGACTTCTGCATACGTATGTGGGGGCTGCAGTGGGGAGGGGAGGGAAGGGGGACAAGGGAAAGGGAGGCAGGCCTGTTATCCAGGCCCTGGGCAGCAGGCCTCAGCTGACCTGAAGGCTCCAGAAATCATTGCCTGCTGCCGGTTCTGAGGGGATAATGGGTCTGGTGCAAACGCATTAGCACAGATTTGTCTACCAGATTAACCTCCTAAGAGGGTTCATGTTAGCACAGCAGTTCTAGGCTTTGATGGTGTCAGGAGAGAAGTGGATTCTTCTGGAGTGGGTGCTCTGAGGAGCAATGGGGAAGAAGTGCTGAGCGCCTGGCGCAGAGCTGAGGTGCTCAAGAAGGAAGGAAGAGGTGAATGAATAAATGGATGGAGAGATGGAGAGATGCAGGGATAGATGGATGGATGATGGATGGATGGATGGATGGATGGAAGTGAGGAAACAGGGAAGGTGGGATCATTGGATGGCAAGATCGTAGCACCTAGAAGGAGGATGGCAAGAGTAAGCTCACAAGGGACTGGTTCCAGTAAATGGGAGGATCTCCAAAAAGGACTGGGAGACACTGAAGAAAAGGTGGGTGCATAAAAGATTCATGTCATCTCTTCCCCTGTGTGTCTACAGAAAACTGAAGCCTTAGTGCCCCCAGGGAGATAAGAGCTAAGTTTCTGGCGGCCACAGGCCCTCTGGGTGGAGGGCATTGTCATGCAGTAGGAGACACCCAGGAGCCTGCAGATCTGGGTTCTGGTCCCATCTTCCCAGGCATGTTACTTTGGGCAAGTCACTCAACCTCTCTGGGAGGATGATTGTAGGGTCCTGTTGTCAGAGTCTAGAGGACTCTTTCCCACTCACCATTGAACAGTAGACGGGGCCAGTATGGAGCTTTCCATTGGGCATTAGGGGTTCCCTCAACTGCAGGAGAGTGTCAGAGTAGCTAGGAGCCCCCGTTTAATGACTGAGAGGAGAATCCAGCCCCAGAGCTTCTGCCTCTTCATTTGGAGGCAGATTTGGAGAGTGAATCTCCTTTTTAGTATTCTCCTTGCCATTCGGGAGGGTAGAGCAAGCTAGCACCAGAGAGAGAATTTGGGCAGAGTGGGCATATTGACGTTGGGAATGAAATGACAATTTTTCCCTACTGACGTTACATCTCCCCTAATGCTAAAGAAACTCGATTCTAATTGCATTACAGGAATAAATGAAAAGTGCTCTCGAGAACAAGTGCAATAGTGATGGTTTCGCAGGAAAGATACAAAGATACTCACCCAAAGCAAACCCCAAAAGGCTGTTTCCCAGGAGCAGGGCAGAAGACTGGGCTGGAACAAGGCCTTGGCTGACACTTCACCTGGGATGGGGTTACTGGGGGGGCCCAGGTGTAGAAGTGAGATCAGGTTGAAGGCTTTACTGCTGCTGCTCTGTCTGCTCGAAGCAGAGTGAAAGTCAGGTGTGGGGTGGGACACGGGATTTATCAAGCCTGAGCGGGATGGTTGTGAGTGACCCTTTGGAGCTCAGGGCACAGCGATGGACTCAGGGAAATGATAAAGGGATTTTGGACGTCAGCGTGTGGCTCCAGGAATGGATGAGCGCATCCCCTTTCTAATTTCTATTCGTGGATGTTGGGAAAGCTCTTGGAAAATGAAGAGCAGAGCAGAAGCAGAGTGTCGTGATTGTATAGGCTCAGTCTCGCTGGCCGGGAAAGGTCGCTTATAACCTCCCACATACTCCTTCTGTAACGGCCAGGGACTGCCTGCCGAACTGGTGCCACAGACCTGTCCACCTCCAGGAAGCCAAGCTAGAAAAGCCCCTTTCAGGTCTGAAGGCTTTTCCTAGGAGGGCACAGGAGAGTTTCAGCAGCGAGATGGGGCGTTGTGGCATGCTGAGTGCTGGCAGTAATGGCACTGAAGGGCAAGGCCTGGGTTTGCAGCTCAGCTACGCCAGTCCCAGCATCTTCCTCTTTACCCTCCTCGTCATCACCTTCAGCGTACACACCCCATGCCAGGCACCATTCTGATCACTTTACATACATTAACACATCAACTCCTCACAACAGCCCTCTGGGGTAGGTACCCTCATTTCTCCCATTTTACAGATGGGGAAACTGAGTCGCAGAGCAATTAAGTAACTTGACCAAGATCACAGAACTAGAAAGTGATAGTATTGGGATTTGAACCTAGGCTCTGTGGCTCCAGAGTCTGCTCTGAACCACCCTGGACGGGCTACTTCTCTCTTCGTGAACCAAGATGTCACCTCTCAGAATGTCAGTTTCCATTCATGCAAAGCAGGAATAGTAACACCTACACCACCACCAGGCACAGCACAGGGTAGGGGCTTAATAAATGTCACCTCCCTACTTCATGGCTTTGGGTCTTAACATCTTTTCAGCCTTGGCTTTTCTTTTAATTTCTCAGGGCTCCACGGACCCTCTCCATGGGAAAATGCGCACTACATAGATAAACCTACACGTACACACAGTCCTTTGCACACAATTTAAGTGGGTTCATGGATCCCTTGAAACCCTTAAGGGTCCTCCAACCCACGGTGAAGAGCTTCTGCCATGTGCCCATGTTTATCCACTCCACTTATATTTGTTGCTTCCTATTATGCAAATGCTGGGGAATGTAGATGCAAAAGAGAGATGGTTCCTGCCTCGGGGAGCCTGCGACCTGGTGGGAGGAGGTGGTCTGGTTCACGAATACGTGCAACAGGGTGTTGTCGGTGCTTTGACAGGCAACTCTATAAAGTAGGGTGTATAAAGGACTAAAGAGGAGGGGTTGTCTTTTAGCCACGCCCACTTGCTGAGTGTTAAGGAGAAATCCGCTACAGACAGAAGAGGAAGCCCTTGAAGGGTGTTTCAACCCAGTATTTATTAAATGCCTTCTCATTCTGCTTTGCAAGCATGTTAACTGATGGGGCCTGATCAAGGGAAATGGGTAGGGACTAGTCAGAGTCTAGGTGGTCATGGGAGTGAGGAAAGAGGTTCATGAAGCAAGTGGACCCTAGGGTGAGGTTACAAGAATAAACTTCTAGGGAAGGGCTTCCCTGGTGGCGCAGTGGTTGAGAGTCCGCCTGCCGATGCAGGGGACACGGGTTCATGCCCCGGTCCGGGAAGATCCCACATGCCACGGAGAGGCTGGGCCCATGAGCCATGGCCGCTGAGCCTGCGCGTCCGGAGCCTGCGCTCCACAACGGGAGAGGCCACAACAGTGAGAGGCCCACATACCGAAAAAAAAAAAAAAACAAAAAAAAAAACTTCTAGGGAAGAGTACAAAAATGATCACAAACATGTATTATCTTGACTGAGAACTGCAGAATTTCACAGCCGGAAGGAAACTCAGATCATTTAATTCAACCTTATCACAGTACAGGTGAGACACTGACGTCCAGAGTGAGGAAGGGGCTTCTCCCAGGTTCCCAAAGCACAACAGTGGCAGGGCTAGGACTTGAATCTGGGACCACACACTCAGTCTAGATTCTCTGATGCCTCCAACTGTCTCTACTTCAAATTCATTTCTATATCTTCCTGGGTACCAGCTCGGTGCTAGGCCACTTGTAAGTCATGTTCTGATTGACACTGAGGGGATGCAGTGCAGAGAGGGATGTCAGTGGAGGTGATTTTAGGAAGAAGGGGGAACACGGAATGAGGATCAGGAAGTTACAGGGTAAAGAGTTACAGAGCATCACAACCTAGGTGGCTTAAACAGCAGGAATTTATTGTCTCCCCGTTCTGGAGGTTAGAAGTCCACAATCAGGGTGTCAGCAGGGTTGGTTCCTTCTGAGGGACCATATGGGAGGGAAGATCTTTTCCAAGCCCCTCTCCTAGCTTCTGGTAGTTCCTTGGCTTGTGGCCCCATAACTCTGTTCTTCACATGGCTTTCTCCCTGTGAATGTCTGTCTCTAAATTTCCCCTTTTATAACGACACTAGTCATATTGGATTAGGGCCCAGCCTGATGACCTCATTTTAACTTGGTTACCTCTGTGAGACCCTGTCTCCAAATAAGGTCTCATTCTGTGTTGCCGGGAGTTAGGACTTCAGCATATGTATTTTAGGGGGACACAGTTCAACCCGTAACAGGTGAGTGTCAGCCGTTACCAGGACTCTGTCCTGCTTATTGTGATGGGAGGAAAGGGAGAGGGAACCAGCCAGTCCCCCACGAGCTTTGTTGTCTCTCTACGAGACAGGGGAGACCCCAGGGTCTGGGAACTTGTGAGAGGGAGAAATGGTAGTGAGAGGGTGAAGGATGGTGCCCAGGGTGCTGGGTGCCAGATGAGAAGCTTGTAAACCTGGGAGCACTCATGAGCTGCTGCCCTGTAGCCCCTGAACCTCCATTCCTCCCTCTCCACCCCTTGGAGGCCAGAAACCTCCAAGTTCACAAGGACCTGGTGAGAACCCATTTGATGCCAGAGTCCTCAGGACCCTGTACAAGAGCGTCACCTGTGCTCTGAGAAGGGACAGGGGGACATCGACCTCCCTCCAAAACCACCTTCCTGGAGACTGTTTCTTGGCAGGTGCTAGGAGGACGCTTGCCTGGGAGCGAAAACCTTGGTTGACTCTGCCACCAGTTTGCTGTGCAATCTTGGGCAAGTCCCTTTGCCTCTCTGGGCCCACGGTGGCATAGGATGGATCGTCCCTGTGCATGGAAGGAGGAAAGATGAAACAATGAGTGAGAGTGTCCTGGAAAGCATAAAGCTTGGTACAGATGCAGGGTGGCCTATTTTTCCTCCTCTTTGTACCATTTCCTCTGACCCAGAACTGCCGCCCTCATCCCAGAGCCCTTGGCAGCCCTTCTAGAACCATCTGCACCAGAGCTGCCCGTCCCCTCCCATTATCTACAGAGACAGCTGAGTCCTGGCCGCTCTTGGTTGCCCAAGCATCAGACATTTCCTGAAGATCAGTGGGTACAACACATTTCCTTCTTTCTCTTTTCTCGCGAGATAGGGCGGTGAGCATTTCGGGAAGCTCTGTTTGAAAATATTGGCCCATGTCAGACTGGATGAGCTGGGTTATGCTGCAGTG